TTCGCGCGCTCTCACGCAGATGGGGGATTCATCTCTCTCTCGCGCCCAGAGCGCGCGCTGTGTGTGTGTGTGTGTGAGAGAGAGAGAGAGAGAGAGAGAGAGAGAGAGGGTGTGATATGGGTGGCTCTCTCGCGCTGATGTGGTGGGGGTCGCGGGGGAGAGAGGGGGGCCGGCACGGAAGCTTCGTTGTGTAGCGCAGCGCGGGGAGGTCTCTCACGTCGCCCTCGCTTCTTCTTCTCCCACAGATGATCGGTGTATATATATATATATATATATATATATATATATATATATATATATATATATATATATATATATATATATATATATATATATATATATATATTCCGGCGCTCTACTGCTTTTACATGGCTTCTGCCCTACTGCAATGCCTTGCCATTGTTTGATAGGATCAAGGTGGGGCACGAGAAAGAGAGGTAAGCCGAATGGTACTTATGAGAGTTATCCTTCACACATTATTCTCACTCTTGCTCCCTTAGTAATGTCACTAATGATCATCATGCATCCAAATATTTTCATTAATGGATCGTCCGTCACTTTTATCACTTGTATATATATTTGATAACGTGTTTAGGGCTGTAAAGTGATTGTTAACCAGAATAGATAAAATTATCCTAAAATGATCTATTTTTCACATTCCATGATTTGTTTTCTGTAGGTTACAATGCAGAGCAAAATGTCAGTTATGTTAGCACCCAAAATGTTAGATGAGAGTTTGGGATAATGATAGGTATAGATTGGATTTATAAGTTCCCATGTAAAACTTATGGGATGCACCCACCTCCCGGTGAGTAATTGTTTGTAGACTTGTGACTATTTATTTATCTTCTAAAATTCTTGCATTCTCCTTTCTCCCTTGATGAGCGAAAATACCTAAGGAGAGGCGATGATTTCTACGTAGTTCTAATTTCTCGAGGAGGAACCAAAGAACCACTCATGAGGAAACAAATATTGGCTCTACAACTAAAAAAAGAGGTATAAAAAGGTAAGTTAACTTTCATGACTGCAAGCTAGAGCTACTTGATATGAAGGCCACTCATGAACTTATTATGGTGGTAGATATTTTAAAAGAGTTCATAGACGGTATGATACCCGAGTTATCGAAAACTCTGTCATCACATAGAGGCATGGATCACCACATAAAGTTAGAGTCGGAAGTGAAGCTTCTAGCAAGATCATTATACCACATGGCCCCTCCAAAACTGACAGAGCTCAAGAATTATTTAGATAAACTACTAAGTGGTGGCCTCATCTACAGTTCCAAAACACCATTTGGAGCTCCAGTTCTCTTTCAAAAGAAAAAAGATGAAAACCTCCGATTATACAGTGATTGATAGGCCTTAAATAAAATTACAATGAAGAATAAGTATCTCATTTTGCTCATCACAGATTTGTTCGACCAACTGGGTATGACGAAGTACTTTTTCAAACTCGATCTTTAATCGGGGTACTAACATGTGCACATAGTTAAAGGAGATGAAGCGAAGACTACCTGTATAATCAATTACGAAGTATTCAAGTTTTTGGTAATGTCTTTTGACTTAATCAATGCTCCGATCATGAATCAATTGTTCAAGAAATATATATGCAAGTTTGTGATCATTTACTTGGATGATATCGTTGTCTATAACCAAATACTCGAGGAGCATGTCAAATAACTTCGAATAATATTTAAGATTCTTAAGATAAACACTTTGTTCATAAAAAGGGAGAAGTGTTATTTTGTCTAGATGGAGATATTATTCATGTGGCATCGAATCAGTGAAGAATCCATTCAAATGGACAAATTGAAGGTGCAGATTATAGCGGAGTGGTGAACACCAAAGAAAATATCGGAGCTAAGATCCATCCTTGGTTTTGTCAACTATTAATATACGCTTCATAGTTAGGTACTCGAAGCAAATAACTCCACTGATGGAGTTGCTAAAGGAGCAACCTTAGATATGGTCAAAAAAATATGAAGCGACATTCTGGTACTCAAATTATCATATTATGATAAGCTTTTCAAAGTCTACACCGATCCTTTGGATTTTACTATTGGAGAAGTACTTATGTAGGAGGGTCACTCAGTGGCCTTCGAGGGCCACAAGCTCAATGAGACAAAGCGACGGTATCCGGTACTAACAACAGTGGTCTATATTGTCTATGAGTATGATGACATTACCTTCTTGGAATATGATAGTTACTTCTAAACTCAAAAGAAGCTCTCCTAAATCTAAGCATGGTGAGAGGTCTTTTTGGCTAAATTTAATGACAATGGAGTATAAACCCAAAAGAACAAATGTTGTGGTCAATGCATTGAGCAGGAAAGTGGAGTCGGTGAATGCTGTGAAATTAAAAGGCGAAGGCTAAGTAAGTCAGCTATATTCCAACTTTCTTTCTAAAATCAAGGATAGACTGCACAATAATCCCCAAGTAGTAACCCTTATACAACTAAGTAAAAAAAGTAAGACATGATAATTTTGGGTCCAAGAGGGACTCATCTATACCAATGAAAATAGATTTTATGTTCCTCAAGTGAATAATTTAATACTTAAACTCTTGAGAGAGTGTTATGATTCCCTTTGGGCAAGACATTCGGGTGTTCACCGAATGTTGGCTTTTGTGGAGAGAGCTTTCTATTGGCCGAAAATAAGGACTAATGTGGAAGAATATGTTTGGACATGCCTTATTTACCAATAAAAAAATGTAGAGCAGCAAAAGCTGATTAGACTTTTGGAGTCATTGCCCATACAAGAAACACCATGGAAAAGTATTTTCGTGGACTTTATATCAAGCTTACTGGCGGTAGAGAGACTTAGATCAATACTTATGGTGGCTGATCGATTTTTAAAATATACAACATTTTATGCTGCACCCCTACACTATTCAATGGAGGAGACAGTCAAGCTGATGATGAAGAATGTGATGTATTAGAGAGTCCTACACAATATTATTAGCAATTAAGACGCACAATTCTTGAGATGGTTTTGGACTGAGATGTTCAAATTATTGGAATCTAAGTTATATTTATTTATAAGTCTCCAACCCCAAATGGATGGCCAAACTAAAAGAATAAATTTGCTCTTTGAGCAATATCTTAGACATTATATAAGTGTCGACCAACGGGATTAGATAAAGTTGTTAGGCATAGTTTAATTTTCTTACAACTTACAATGAAACTCTGTATCCAACAAGAACCTCTTTGAGATAATTACAAGATAGTAGTCATTAACTCCTCGCACCTCGGCAATTGTTTATATCATTGGCATATCACTTTGCAAAGAAATGATATAAAAAATATAGATATTTCTTAAATTTACCTAGAGAAGACGATCAAAAAGATGAAGATGTGAGCGGATGTGAGAAAATAATAATAAGAGTTTAAAGTCGACGACTTGATGCTAGTGAAGCTCTAGTATCACTCTGATTCTCTTGACATAAAGTACATAAGAGATTGATATACAAGGATTCTTCCCAATTATCAGTAGGATAGGTAATATCTCCTATAAGTTATAGCTTTCGATGTAGCTCAAATTCACAACATTTTCCACATAAAAAAACTTAAAAGCTTACCACTTTGATATGCAAAATATTTTCTAAAGTATTTCAACTCAATTGCCCCCCAATCAGAGCCGTAAAGTGGCGAAAGCTTCCTCAGCTAGAAGCCAATTGAAAGCATGAAGATAGATGCCTTGCAATACGAAGAAGCAATTATGAAGGCTTGCTAGCAAGCATCAACAGATCGTTCACCTGTAACACCTTCCTCAACATATCATTCACAATTAATTATATATATATATATATATATATATTCCATGCGGCTCAACTCAAGCTTGAAGACCTCCCAACAACTGTTCGGAGTCAACTCAACGTATTACAAGGGGTCTGTTGACTCGTTGCGTCCTCTACCTAATTCCGAGTTGACCCAACAAGTCAGTCGTAAGCCTTCAACCTCTTCCATGGAAATCTATGATCAGTTCCTTCTTCTTCCCCACTGTAAAATGATAACATGAGCTTCAATGGAAGTGCTTTAATGCATTAATCTTGAGAAAATAATGTGTATATGTATATAATTCTTCTTGTGAACAAGGATGATAAATAACTTGAATTGGTCTTCTTAATCTTCTCAGGAATTGATGGTGCTCAGTAGACTGCTCTCTTTCTCATCGCTCGTCATCTTCTCGCACGAGGAACACATCCTCAGCCGCGCTGCCTTGCGGTGCTCTACGGAGAGCTGCGGACCGGGCTTCACTACTGATCGCATCTCCATCAGCTCCCTCTTCAGCCTTCTGTTCTCGTTGGCCAGCCTCTCGCAGCACCTCCTCAAGAACCCGCAGTCTACCTCCGTCTGCTTCAGTTTGGTCCTGCATGCGGATAGATCACACAGCCTCACGTCCATCACCACCACTACCACCTTAAGACACATTACGTGATTGAGATAGGGTTGAAGAGAGTAACTGCAGCACCTGGCTCTCCTGTTCTGAAACCATACTTCCACTTGCCTCGGCTGCAAGTGCAACCTCTGCGCAAGCTCTTGTTTCTGGTCCTGCCATGAGAGATCTATCAGTTAGTGCCGATACATATTAGGGTTCAACAGGTGCACGTACAGGAGCAAGCGTGCTGTGGGCTCTGAAGCTGTCTTCAAGCAAGGCCAGTTGTTCTCCGGAGAGCCTCAGCTTCTTCCTCGTGCCGCCACCATCTCTCTTCTCTTCCGTCTCTTCTTTGAACGAGGTCTGATTCAGGTTTTTGATGAAGGGCAAATCCCCAACTCCTCCTATCGCAAGACTGAGGGATACATTGCACTCTTCTTCCTGCATGGTGAGGTGTGGAGAGGACGGTGGAGCATACGAACCTGTTGGGTTCAGATGGTTGAAGTGGTGCAAGGTGATGGATGAGGAACACATATAAGAAGCAGTAACAGGTTCATGAGAGAGAGAGAGAGAGAGAGAGAGAGAGAGAGGCAGTTTCCAGTGCTTTTAATGTGGGAAATAAGTGGTGTGCGTTGGGTTGCAGTACAGTGATGGCTTGTTGGACCAAAGAAAACAAAGACTACATGGGTCCTCTTTGCAAGTCAGCATAAAAATTTTCCTGGCAGTTTCAAGGTCCCAATCAATTTGTCATTCTGTGAGATGTTGTGGTAACTGATGACATTCACATTAATCAAATGACTTTATGACTTTACTGCCTTAATTTGTTTTGCATGATGTAACAACACACTGAATGCAGAGTATTCCAATTCCCATGTATCAGTATGAATCTTTAAGATAATTGCAAAGAAGAAACATGACATATCAGTTCTGTCCTGACATGGACACAAATCAGAAGAAACTTAAGCTGATAAAAACAACAATAAAACCATAAATCCTCACTGTTTAGAATCTGTATTCATCGGAATATATAAAAAAATCAAATTCTCAATAAATGTGTCAGGATAATACGAAAAAAGAGAAATGGAGGGGAATCTCCAATACAATTTCATTTGCTTATGCATTTACTTGGACACCATGTTTGAGCCTTATTGCCTGAGGTATACAAGTTTAGTACAGCAAAACAAGGCGTTTGAACCGATATAAACATACACTTAATTTAGACTACAGGAGCTGAAGCATGTTCACATCCAAGTCTTTACCAAACAATATGAATTTCTCAATATTTATGATGATGTGAACAAAGAGGATTTAATGCTTGACAAAATAAAATACTGCTTCCCAAATAATGTTTGATTTCCAAATTATTGGTTTGGTTTAACCATTAACCATCATCACACAGACTTAGTATAAAGTCAAGAGTGGATGAGAATGTTTTCTTACAACAAAATTCCAACTGACTTTTCATATTCCTCCTTCAAGAATGGTCAAAGAAATAGTATGGATTTGATTTCTTCTTTCCATGGGGAGAATCCATCCACACTTGCCATTGCCCAATTCCTGTTACTACCTGCTTTTTGTATTATCCGGTCATGGTCATATGAGCAGAAGGCAAACTTCTCACAAGAGACAAAACAGTGGAGAATTCCTGCAAAGATTATGTGGTACTTGGGGAAAATCTAGGAAATTGTCATGATTTGAGAAAGAGAATGCACTTGATCACTTTGTTCAAAATCATCTTTTGTTGGATCCATTGCTAGCTAGCTTCACTATGACGAGAAGAATATCCAGTTCAACATAACATGAGAAACGTGTGCATGTAATGTTATAGCACACAGTCTGGAAATAAGCAAGCAAATTAAGAGCTAAATCACAAAACAATTAGTAATAATTAAAAGCATACTAGCAAAAAGTAACTTTCTCACTGTATGATTCAGCAGTGGTTAATCAGGTCTCTAAGCAAATATGATATTTAATATCTAATTATCTTTATTGTCTCTCAATTTTTCCTTGGCAGATTAAGGACATGCTGTTCTGGCACTCCAGTCAACATATATGCCATCACAGAGTAGTCCTGTGCCGCTAGTGAAGCACCTCAGCATGATGCAACTTATAAATGCAAAACCTAAAACTAGGAGTTCTAATCAGGGTGAAGTAAACTACTTTGTATTCAAGTTTCCACCACTATGGTTGCAGGCAATACCAGCATGTCGTTACCGGATGAGATTCTTTTGAAGGAAAGAGATCATGGACCACAATGGAATTAAATCTATAACAAGGCTTTGATGTCTTTGTAAATTTATGCCTAGTGGAAGATGGATATGGTGAATCTCTTCAATACGCTAATCCCCTTACGAATAAGTAAGCACATGTCAACCATGAACAGACTTAACAATCATAGAGAATGTACGATTTCAACAAATAATATAGCCTTCCAATATCCTTGTTCTTGTACTTACCACAATCAAGTCCACGCTGTCCAACTCTACAAACAATGATACGGTGTTTCCATGTTTAGATAATAGAGAGACACCTGAGTGTCGTAATATACATTTATACAAAGCTTGGTCTAAAATAAGAACTATATCTATCATCCTTTATATGTATCTATGATTATGCTATAATTTTCAAATTGTGATATGTAGCTCAATACTTCAAACATCATATTCGTCCCATTACTTAAGCCATGTTGAAATTGCTTTTCTGTTAAAGAAGATATCAAATTTTCTTTAACACTAACAGAAATCAACTAATAGGAGCTGTCGATGACAAAGAACCAACATCGTCAAACCTCAATGTAAGATGATAAGAAAAAGACTCATTATGACTGTTCCTAGCAAGTATTTAGTCTGACACAGAATGCATGTACTACAAACACGGCACAGTTTATGATGCTCGATTGACAAAAGGATTAAATCACCACACTAATATAAGCATTTATACAAGTAGCATTCACATTTCAAGCTAATTATTATGCACACAACTTCTACTAAAAGAGTCACCACAGAGCTAGAAAAATAAGAGCAGCAAGAAGATGACAGACAGACAAAAAGCTTATTTTGAATTACTTGACCGGAATTACACAGCAGAGTTACTCAAATAAGTAACAAACTACAACAACATTAAAAGCAGAACGAAAGAAAACCATGAGATCTGTACACATGCGAAAGTAAACAGTGACAGAAATCAGTGAGCAACGGGGAAAAAAAAAAGAAATTTACTCTCATACAGGAGGAATGTTAGAAAAGGAAAAGCCTTTGTAACCCTTGTAGGCGTAGTACGCAATCCGCGTGTAGTAGAATCCCGGGATGAACAGCATCGACCCCAGGATCGCAAACAAAACTCCTAATCCCACCAAAAACAGAAGAAAAATCACAAGTTTAGCGAGAAAAGAGGGCAGGCGAGTCAAATTCCGGCCAGGGTTTAGGAAAGAGGGGCAATTGAGTGGGATTACCATGGGTTCGGTCGCCACCGACCTCGTTGGCGGCCATGATGATGCCGAGAACGACTCCGAGGGCGCCGAGGACGAGGAGGCCGACGGCGAGGGCGATCTCCTTGACGGGGGGCCGGTGGTGGACGACGTAGGCACCGTCCATCGTGATGCCCTCGTCCGAGATCGAGAAGGCCCTGTCGACGTACGCCATTGCCGACCACAAACTAGCTCGATCGATCGATCAATGGCGCAGAGAAGAGACCAGAAGAGATCGTGGGAGGAACGGGGAGTAATGTAGATCTCGAAGGATGAGCGCCAGATGCGCTAATGTGGTCGAGCGATAAAACCATGTCATTTTATTGAAGGGTTGCAATCGGAAGCTTGTCAAAGTGACTAAGAATCGCTAATGCCACTCTCTTTAATATAAAATGATTGACCAGGGTCAACAATTTTGACTCCGCAAAGAATTTGATGTCTACTAATTTTAAGAACATGGATCCAATTTTATCACCAAATATATTTCCGAAAAATTATTTGTGTATATATTATATATATACATGCACATGTTGCCATATGTTTATATATGTTTATATATGCCCCTCACGGCAATTTCCAAGATTCGTGTCTCAATCAAACTTAAATGAACAGTAGAGATGTGATAGAGGGAGCGAGATGGACGGTGGTCTGGAGCCCACTGCTTACAACGGCTTACGCTCTCGAAATCAACGGCTCCGGGTTCAGTCATCGGTGATCCAACGGATGATTCCCTCAGCGTTTGCTAATGGCCCCACCGAGGGTTGGTCAACACTCGCAGCTGCCAAAGCCAGCGCTTTCGTCCGCTTCGATATATTAGCCACACCCAGCCAACGCTTACCCAACCCCGCCCGGAGATCTTCGGACACCCAAACCTTTTCTCCTTCACAAGTTTTCTTGAGGTGGACGTCGACGTCACTTTCACCAACTCCAACGTATTTCCTTGTTACCAGTAGCAACTCACCGTCAATGCCACAGCTGCTTCGTCACACAAGACAAAAATAAAAAAGCTACGAGATGCCCAACCCGATGAACTTCCCGCGGTGATTGGATCCAGAACTTGGGAGCCACAACGCTCTCCAATCGCAAGACCGGTGATTCGTCGGGTACATGAAAAATTCATCTTTATCTTTTTCTACTTTTCTTACTTCGTTGGGAAGCTCGAAAGCCAAAAGTCTCTCACGTCGTCGCTACCCGTTATGGGTCCCACGATGGGCCCCAGCATCTAGTCCAATAACGCGGGCGCGAGTTGTTTGTGGCAGTGTGGGGCCCTCGGTGCTGCTGATTTGAGTGCCTGCCACCTCGTCTAGTGGGGTGGGCGAGGCAACAAGCGTTTCTGATTGCGATTCCATCACGAAGAAAAAGCGGCGGATCACAGCCGTCGGATAGAAAGCTACCTTTGACTCGAGTCGTCGGGGTCCTCTTCCTCTCCTTTATAACAGTCTGCCCTTCGCACTCACCTTCGCCTTCGTATGTTTCTAATGATCTGTTGCTTGGAGCTTCGATCTGCGAATGATGGCTGTTGATCTGATGGGGTACGCCAAGATGGACGACCAGATTGCTATCCAGGAGGCCGACGCCGCTGGGATTCGCTCCATGGAGCACCTCATCAGTCGCCTCCCCCACCACCAGCAGCAGCAACGCGACTGCCTCGAGATCACCGACCAAGCCGTCTCCAAATTCAAGAAGGTCATCTCCTTCCTCAACCGCACCGGACACGCCCGCTTCCGCCGCAGCACCACCTCGCCGCCGTCGGAACCGCCGGCCGAGCCGTCGCTTCCCGAAGCGGCGAAGACCCTCACCCTCGCCCCGATCCCGCTCCGGGTCAAGCCCCCCAGTTATCCCCTGCCGCCGCCAGCACGGACGTTGACGGTGGATTTCACCGAGCCGATCAACTGCGGCGAGGTGTCACCTCCGAGCCAGTACAGCAAGGAGTGCTTCAGCATCACGACGCCGATGTCGTCTGCGACGTCCTCGTTCATGTCGTCCGTCACCGGTGACGCTAGCGTGTCGAACGGCCGGTTCGGAGCCGCCTCCTTCCTCTTCCCCCCGCCCGCCGCCGCGATATCTGCTGGCAAGCCGCCACTCTCGTCCGCGCTCAAGCCACGGTGCCATGAGCACGACCACGCGAATTCCGAGCACGTGACCGGAAGGTACGCCGTCCCCGGCGCCCGCTGCCACTGCTCCAAGAGAAGGTGAAGAGAAGGACTCCTCAAGTCAGCAAGTCGTGCGATTTGATCGTCGCGTCTTTAGCCTCTAAATGATTTCATATCTGAAGCAGGAAATCGAGGGTTAAGCGGACGATCCGCGTGCCGGCGATAAGCTCGAAGGTGGCCGACATCCCCCCGGACGACTACTCGTGGCGCAAGTACGGGCAGAAGCCGATCAAGGGATCCCCGTATCCCAGGTACCCAAACGCCTCCCTCCTCCACATCCAACCGTCCGATCTCCGTCTAACCCTTCCTCTCCCTTCGTGTACGACGCACCAGGGGCTACTACAAGTGCAGCTCGGTGCGCGGCTGCCCGGCGAGGAAGCACGTGGAGCGGGCGCCGGACGACCCCACGATGCTGATCGTCACGTACGAGGGCGAGCACCGCCACACCCCCACCGGCGCCGCTCCCGAGCCTATCCCGGCGGCCGCCATCTGACTCCGACCGTCCCGTTGTCTGGATCGAAAAGAAGGCCTGATGGTGCTTGTCAAAATGCGTTCGTGTATAGACCTGGAAAAAGTTCGGAAAACAAACAAAAAAAAAGACGAAAAATTCGAAGAAAATTGACTCGTGGACAGTTGGATTGGAAATTGGTTTGAGATCCGGGGATGCCGCCGAATGGCTCCAGAGATGTGATCAGAAAAGTCAAAAGATGTTGCTGTCGTTGACTGTTGTCAGCAGTGATGGCGATGTGAGGTGGCCATCTTTTTCTGTTCTTTGGTATTGTGGGGAGGAGTTGATGTTAGTGGTGGTAGGTCAACCATTCTGTCTCTGGCTAAAGAAGCTCTCAGTAGTTGGTGTCATAATTAAAGATATTAATATGGATTATAGCTGCATTTAACTTTGGATCCAATCTATGTCTGTTCATTTATGACACGAGCTCACTCACATATGGAGTGGTTTTCTATGTTGTGGAGGAAGAAGCTTCCTTGAGTTGATGAGCACATCATGAAATGTGGGGCAATTATATCAACCACTATCGCCTGCACTCAAGCCAATACATAATGCTGGTGGGTGGAGGTTGGCAAGGAAGCACAATGTGAAGGGTGATGATGGCGACCACTGATTACTAAAGTTGCTTTAAACATTGTGGAATCTGTGTGACTTTTTATGATGAGCAGTGTAGTCTCATCTGTGAGTGGATATGACTGGTCATTGACTTTGGGAGACCAGGACAGCTAATGCCATTGACTAAAGTTGTGAAGTGGAGCATGAGGACCTCAGAACAATCCAAAAAGTATCATGCAAGGCTTCATGGACATCATATCCTGCAATATTTAAGTAAAACTGGGTAAAGATATATTCAAATTGTCTTGGAAGAGTTGCTGGACATGTGCAGCAGAAACAATCAGAACAATATGAGAAATTGAAATGCATAAATGAATGGGTAGAAACACAGAACCAAGTAAAGCAGAGCTGTTCAAGTTCTGAAGGAGCCATCAAATTCTAAGAGTCTCAACTAATATATAAAGATAAGAGTTTTCCTGTTATATGTACATCTGTTGAAAAATAGGGAACAGAGTAAATGAAATGGATTACATTTGCATCTTTACTATATCATGTTTAGTATCTCCTGAGTTATTGAAGAAAATCTATACAGGTGCACAAAAGTATTCTGAGACTAAAAGTTGATGATTCCTAATGAGTATGACCTGCTCACTTGATATGCTCAATCTTTTTTACTCTATATTATCCCCAATCAGAGACTCCAAATGTTGAAAATGAGTCGTCAGCTTCTTAGACTGCTTCACTGGTACTATCTCCACCGTGGAAATTGATACTTCCCTTGCTAAGTCCAAATTTTGCTGGAGGAAATGCTCATTTTGCTGGCTTGGCTCCTTGTTTATGAGAGGTCGATAGGTTGAGGTATGTGTACAATGACATCCCTCCCAGAGCTGTGACAGCTCCACAGATGCTAGAGATTCCTGGATTAGAATCAAAAAGAAGGAATCCTCCGAGAAGGATGACACAAGTTTTGAACTGTCCAAGAACGACATGGGAAGTTGCAGATGTTGCCCTGTGACAATAGAATAAGGAAACATCTTTTAGAAAATCATGTATCAGACTACAACTTCGAGAAGCCAATAAAAACTTTTATGGATTCCAAAGGAACTTTCTTTTGCAAAAGACAAATAAAAATTACGAATCTTTCAATCTTTGTTAAGTGGTACTGGTAAACCACCACCAACCAAATATTTTTCGTGTGAAAATATATGTCAAGTTCCAGAAGAACTTCATCTCATAAGAAAAGAATCTCTTACCCAAGAGCCAAAGCACCAGACCACTGAAGCAGGAATCCAAGGACAGCTGACATGAAAATAGCAGACGAATTGGTCGAATTCCATCGAAACGAAAGAGCACCTGGTGGGTCAAGCCAAGGCATCAATCCAACCAGAAAGAAGAGTGTGACTGGTGTGGTCTTCCACATTAATCTGTTTGATGGCCTCAAGTTAGCAAACTATTCATTGATTCAAACTAGGTCGACATGTTGATATCAACGAACTAGTTCCAAGTTGCAATTTAGAAAGAATACATACGCCAGGGCAGTCCAATTATGCTGCTGCTGTAGATTTGACCATAGAATCTTATTAACAGCACTAGGTATTATCCATGCTAACGCTATGCAAGCACCAAATAAGTTGAATTCAAGGTCTGTAACTGTTGCAATAGCAACACCAGCAGACACTATAGTTAAAGCCAGCACCTGCGAGGTTCAGCATAGAAGTGTCACAACCTGAGCAACTTACCTATAATCATACCATGATCGAATTAATTTATAAGCCATAGAATTTATCACCTTCTGATAGGAGACTGTCTTTCTGAAGAACATGAATTCAGCTAGAACAATTGTTGGTGTCACTGCAATTTTAGCCATCTGATAGAATCCCACACTGGAACATCAACAGTTAATGACTTATCAGCAAAACCGAAGCATATCTTGCAGCATAGTGAGGAAAACTTTATTCTTACCTGTTGCATTTCAAGCTGACATTAGCAAGGCCACTAGAAAGGGACATCACAATGCCAAGAGCCAACAGGGAAGAGAATGGAGTTGACTTGGAAGGAGGTGAGGCTGGAAGGAGGAAGAATGCCTTCAAGATAGCCATTAATAACCAGCTCAAAGAGTAATGGATAAAGGTGAGAAAGATGGGGTAGTTAAACCCTACTTTCCCAAGCACCTGAGACCCAAAGAAAATATACTTAAATGAAGATTCAATGGCCAATAGTATATCGGACCAGCAGCGGTAGAAGAATGCACACCAATTTGTTCATCATGATAATGCCAACAGAAACCAAGAAATTGAAACTTAAAGCAACTGTCGGGCCACAAACACGTTGCTGCAAACGCCTCGCACCCTCAAACGAGTGCAGTTCACTGAGAGAAGCTTCAATATCCTCGAATGCTCTACCTGAAAATCCAAGGGAAAACCATTGCTGAAGACAAATGATGAACAAATACTCTAGCCCTGCAGTTATTTTTCTTCGCTACAGTTTTCAATACTTTAACAATTGAATCAAAGAAAACAGCAAACACTACAGAATGCATGTTACTATCCATGCACATTTAGAAACCATCAGCAAAGTTATAGTGGTTGGAAGCTCCCAATATGAAGCAGCACTTGAATTATCAAGCTTCTGCATGCTGTTCTATGGATCGAAGAACATACCTAAAGCCTAGTTTCTCTCCTGCCAACCGGTAATATTAAACCAATATCCAATTCAAGCCTCATTGCATAGATGTCTCACTATTTCTTGGAAAAGTTGCAGATATAAAACTTCCATCTTTTGAAACCAATCTTTAAAAACCTATTGTCTAATCTTCCCAATATACCATTGTCGAATCGCTTCCCACCAATCTAGCGAGAAAACTAAGTAGAGATATACACAAAATAAATATTGTGAATCAGCAGGATCAGACAAAGCCACGGCAATCTTTATCATGAAAAGGGCACTGCGATACACGATTAAGGTGATCACAAAGCAAATTGTGGCGTTTGGAGGAGGAGAGGAGGGGTAAGGGTGACCTCGGTCTCCGGGGTCGCCATCTTTGCCCTTGTGGAATCCCCTGACATCTTTCCGCAGGATAAAGTTCATCACCATCCTACTGCACAGCATCCCACCAAGCACTAACACCAAACCCCAACCCACAGCCTCAATTCGCAGCAAACTTGTCGCCCGCCGTGGGAAGCGCAGATGAGACCCCAAAGAACAGGGGACGAAGAAGAGGGAAAAGAGGGGCGAACACCGCTTGGGACGGAAAGAAGGGCGCAATAAATAGAAGAGGAGGCGGTGACGACGGGGTGAGGGGAGCGGGCGGTGAGGGGACCGCGGTCGTGGGAGGAGCCGTTGTTGTGTCGGAGCGCGAGAAGGTGTCGGGATTGAGGCAATCACGCGCGAGGGTGATTTCTCGTTGATCTCAGCCGTCCGAGTAAAAGATCAACGGTCCGATGCGAGTCACTAACGTTAAACCGAAGTTACAAGGCATCCCAATGCCCAGCCGGATTCAAATTGATTCCATCTACGGAATTAGGAAGTGTTCCTCATCCAATTCCTTTGCACACAAAAGGAGTGTTTCTCATCGGAAATAGGATCTTCGAATCAAGTCAAAGCTCGGCCATTTCTTTGAGAGGGATTTATCTTGTGAAGATTTATGGATATTAAAAGAGTAATGATCAACGAGTTCGGCACTTTGTTTTCTAGTTTGGTTAAGTCAACATGTCAGTTCTTTAGGACAAAAGATGTTTGGAAGGTTCTTGCGATTCATCAGGTTTGATGTATTTGATGCAAACTTTTATCTAATTCTCCCTACCTCTCCCTCTGACTTGGCCAAGATATCGATGGCTAGTTTCTAATTGTTCTGCCGAAGTCCTAATTATTTTAATCAATTATATGAATCTTTTATCACCATTAAGATCAATAAAAATATATATGTTTAATTAAATTAAAAATATTAAAAAAATATTCACAAATAAAAATATTTTTATTTTTTTAATAAATCTATATATCCATATCAATATTCTCATATCAACAATACAAATTTTTAATATATGTTATTCTTTAATCATCCAACTTTTCTTGATATCGTATAAGCCAAAATTACATTTGGACTATGATTTGGTACTGTGGTCCTCCATCAGCTATAATATCATATAGGAATCCAAAATTTAGTCAAAATCTTGACATTCTTGTTCTTCGTGATCCAACTTCAATCATACAAAAAGATACAAAAAGATGTACTCGAAAATGGATTATGACAGTAAACATAATAATTCACAGCATGAAACAGCACATTGAGCCTCTAATCTAAGAGGCAGGTTAATACAATTAATTAGGATGACCTGCATATAGCTCATATTTTACCAAGTAAATAAAACTTTCTTCTTATTTGTAAAAATAATAATAATTCACAGCATAAAACGATTGCTCATATATGCATCTGCTGCTTATTACACAGGCAGGAAGGCACTGCTTTGCTCTTTTATAAAGAGGACCACATACAAAAGAGAAAACCTACAAGGATGAATCCACAAAAGGATGAGAAATCAGTGTTAATATTCGGTGGTTCACTCTCAAGCAAGGCAACCCCAACACAAGTTACAGAATATAGAACTACTGCAAAAAATTAGGTCTCTCAGATGGGAGAACTTATTTTAAGCAATCATGTAGAATCAAATCCCTGTATCAATTTACTACAAAATAGTGCAAACGGAACAAGTGCCGGTCCTGCTACCTCTTGCTCACAAAGCATAAGATGACTCGAGGAAATGATTCTGAAACCGAATCGATTAGAAAATCCTTTTCAGAAAACCAAAAAAAAATGCAGTACGGGATGTTGAACTGGACATAATAGATATAGTTGTCACTAATTACCGCCCTTCTGTTTTAAAGTGATCTTATCCCCTAAACTGAGGGCAATCCCTTGCGTCTTGCTCCTTATTCTGATATAACCACTTAGCTTACCATCAGCCTGCTTCTCAACACTCACATTGACCAAAGCATCCTCTCCGAAGACACTCTTAGCGTACAGGTTAGCAGCAAGAAACCCACACTCCCCGTCCACGGCAGAGCTGGAATAATCACAGAAATATGCTCATCAAAAGAAACATCAATTGATTATGCAACAATAATCTAATTTTCTTCTTATGTGATGATATATCAGGACCTAAGTAATAGATGAATGGAGTGAGAACTTACGGTGGTGTGAGGCACTTCATGTTGGTCGACTTGATTATGTGATTCAAAAATTCCTTCTCATCCTGTATTACAGTGTTCACTGCAACCTGTAAATAGCAACAAAGACAAATATTAATTTATAGTTCTTGTTTAACAATGCCAAAGCTGGATTTATGATTCCACAAAGCAAAATAGAAGCACAGGGATAAAGCAAAAGAGGGCATAAGATTCATAAAAAAATTGCATGGAGATTGAGACTTGGGGACCATCATCTTCAGGAGGAGCTAAATATCATTATAAATTGTAACCATTATTGGACAAAAAGAGTGAAGAAAACCAACGTGTAACTCCCTTGGAATAAAAAATCACAGCACCAAGTTATCATGGGCTCAAGCACACACAGTTGGAAAGTACCAAACAGTAAATAAATTACATCTCACATGCTTAACCGAAAAATGTAAGTCTCCTTATGAATTTACATTCATGGCTAGAAAAAGAAAACCATGAGGATGTACAAAGCAACACCATTATCCACTTCCTCTGCTATAGGAATGACAGTCAAATTACTAAATGATAATGAAAAATGTTAATAATCAAGTATTGAATAGCCTGTCAAGGTAAGGAGTTCCTCACAAACATTTTCTTATTCAATATCAACTTCTGTTCCATGCTAATATCATATCTTCTAAGAAGTCTAGAATTTCTTAAGTCAGCTTTTTAAAAGTTCCAGACATCAATATGCAACATGTAATTAAGAGTTACATACAGATAGTCAATGTATTTATAGTTTCTTCTATGTTCCGAAGATCAATTATCAGACACAATAGATACCCATGATGTGATTTCAAGAGTTTTTAGGCCAATATTCAAAAGAAAGAACAAGTACATATTTTCTTCTGATACATTAATATCTCTTGAACAACTAGTTTGACATATGTTCTCTTCATGCCATATTACACTACAAATTATTACCTTAACTTTATCCAGAGTTTATCAATCGAGTGTATATGAATTAACATCACTAATAGACACACAACAAATGAGTTTGAAAATAAAGATAAGCATACCTTGTTTTCCCATTCGAATTCTGCCCACATATTCCTAAATGTCACATCAGCACAGGAAGCAGGAGATATGTAGTCCATGATGTCAATGTGGATGTCACTGAGGACGACAACAGTTCTCTCAAGCACATTTGAAGTTTCATATACAATATTACCAAATATGACTCCAGTCTCTGTTGAAGAAACCTTTATATTGGCTCGAATTTGCTTGCTTGACTCTGGAGCTAGAGTATAGTTCTGTGGCCGGTCTACAAGTTTGAGGTCTCCCATGGTTGCTAATTCCAAGCACAAATTCTGAAGTGTTTCCTTTGTTCGGTTAATCACAGTTACATCAAGGACAATGTCATAATGATGAACTGTCACAAATGCCTCAGCATACACAGGATCACTGAATCCAGTGAGTTGAAGAATTCGATTCAACTTATTTGCATCATCTCCATCCTTCATAAATTCTCCAGTTGCACGTTTCAAGTCATCTTGGACCTCATCCTCCAACTCAAGCTGGCTCATACCCTATAAACATCAACACCAAAAAATTTTTGAAAATGCCTGTGGCTTAGAAAATAATATAGCTTTGAATTTGTACAGGAAAATAGCATCATCCAGTATTATTTCAGATATAGCCCAAATAAAATATCATGCAGCAACATAAAGGGGAAAAAAAGTCTTACAGCACAAGCACAAGTTCAGCAAGTAGAAGATTAGGACAATGAAAATTGAAACATAAAGCAATATCTCACATTTGTACATGGAAATGCATTATAAATTATAATGAAATACCTAAAAGGGCAAATAAAATTTAGCTGCCTTTGATTGTTAAGTGACAATTATGTATCCAAAGTTATCATAATTCTGTTAGATGCTAATTGTTAGTTCTGTTTTGTCTAGGAGAAATCAGCTAAGGTAAAAGTGGCTATTTAAGTACAAGTGTGACCATTAAGTTATTCTATTTAGCTTTCACAATGCATAAACTGGTGTGCTCTGGTACATAGTTTCTTTAAACAAAGAAGGAAGAAAATCTCTAAACAAAAAAACCACAAGCAAGAAAATCAGTAAACAAAACAAACAACTACATAGTTGGATACTTCAATCTCTAATGCTTTTGTTAGAATAACCATTCGTATCGGCTAACAGGAAAGATGTTTGTTTTGTGATTTAGGTTTGACCAGATCATTTTCACATCTTACTTCCCACGCATTCCCATGGTCAGACATACCTTAAGACCCAACAGATGAGGTTATGTCAGATTGAGCACCTAGATCGCAGACCTAACCAGCTCAATATGATAAGGTAATCACTATGAAGCATACCTAGACACATGTGCCAAGATCTTGATAACACCCATCACCATCCTCAGCTTCATGTAGACGATCATTTGATATGTAAATGGCCATCAACAATTCTTTGAAATGAATCTTTATAAAGTTGATAGACACATCAATATTATTTGCTACTCCTTATTTGTACGACGTACGACAATCGTCTAATATATGAGGAGAATAGAACATATCCAAGAAACAACACATAGTAATAATAGAAGACAAAAGGATCCCAAGGCCAGGTGGATTTATTACTTTCAAAATTTAATGAACTATAAAATCTTTCTTGGAAGTATCTTCAGCATTTTGCTTTATAAACTAGGCAAACAAGAATGAATTGGATGGAAATTGAACTTTGCCAACTACTACACCAAGAAGTTCAGAAATCATCTCTCACTAATACGCTATTCAAGTAGTAAGTAATACACGTATGCTACCACCATTCAAGTAGTGAGTCATGTAGATCCTCTAGCTATGTTAGTAGAATGAAGAGGCGCTCCCATCCTACAAGTGGGGCGACTATCTAAAGAGATGGACACTCCTAACTACAAACAGTAAAAAATTACAGAAAGAGGTAAAAGTCAGAATCACAAATCATCAAGGGGCTGACTATCCCTTGCAAGGCACTATATAGTGTAGAGAAAATTTACACTATGGATAAATTCCTTAGCATGGGAAGCACCCCTATTCCTCCTCCTTCCTCTCCAATTTTCTCTTTGAGCTGACCACTACATTTCAGGCCTTTGCTTGCTGTTCTTTTACCATGAATCGGATCCTTTTTTGGTGTCCAAAGCAGAATCCTATTCCTGTGACTACTGTTAATATCCAGCCATTCGCACAAGCACGAGGAGAGAAAAATCTTTTAGCCATAGAACCCAAAAACTAAATGGTTTCCTACTGGACTAAAAGCCTAGCATAGAATTTTGCATCATAAAGATTTTGTAAAATGTCAAACGCAATGAAAAAAAGAAAAGAAACATAAGTACTCACTGATGTTCAATCAATTAGTTTAATAAGAAAAAGCTCAGAATTCCTTACCTTCCTACTCTTCAAATGGTAGAAATCAATGAGATCATCGGGTTGTGCATGGGAAATTTGGGCCTTAGCTTTAATCTCCTCAGTTTCTCGGAATTGCTTCTCTGCAAGCATCTTTGCAAAACTCTGGCGGCACGATTGCAACCATATTTTCCTCACCTCATCACCAGTGTTGCAGAGCAATCTAATGCACAGCACAATCCTGTCAAAAGAATCATTATCGATCGGGTGGGGAAGAAAGGAAGATTGTCCTAATTGCAACATGGAAGTCATTATCAGCAAGACCCCAGTGCATGCTTTGTTTGCCTCGGACTTTGATGGCTGGACCTCCTCCAGTCTCAAAACCAGCTTAGTTAAAGTGCAAGCAACAACTGATCCTACGAAGAAGTCACCAGACAAAATCAGTGACCTCAAATTCCCAGGCGAACCCAAAGATCCAGGAAGAACAATCGGAGCAGATAAAGCGGTTTCCGAGGCAGCACTTTGGGTTGCGTATGTCCCATCCGCCAAAACCACAGGCCTTCTCGATGAAATAGTAGCAGATGAGTTGACCTGCTGGGGTTTTTTTGAACCATCCATAACCTCCCCCTCCTCAGTGGTAGTGTAAAAGGGAAGATCTCCGAGGCACTGCTTGATTGTCGCGATCCCACTCTCCACCTCTGAGAGAGAAAGGCAGTACTCACCAATGACCCAAAGAGCACACGTGCAGACCCTCGCAGCACGAATCTGATAAAATGTGTCGAGGAGCCGCGTGATGATGGACACTCTGAGCTTTGGATTGGTCTCAATTATCTCTTTCACAAAGAGAACCACATCAAGAGCAGAAGCTACAATGGTGTCCCCAAGGAAATCCATCAGCAGATGAACAACAGTGCTTGCAACCTCGGGGAACTTGATGGCACATGAGTGAATAGCCTGCACCAGCATCTGCCGGTACTCCCCATTCTTCTCAAGCTCGATGGTCTGGGTCTTCACGACCTCCTTCTTGAGTGCGAGCACCACCTCATCAACGTTCTTTGACGTGATCAGCTCAAGGGCGATGTCCAACGTCTTGCGCCTGATGTCAAGATTGGGACTTGACAGCGCACGCAACACATCCATGATCATCTCCATCATGATCTCCCTGTGCGACGATTTGAGCTCGTTGAGACGGTCGAGCACGATGAGCTTCACGTTGTTGTCGCTCTGCGTAAGGAGGAGCTGGCAGTAGGTGTTGGCGGCAGCCCGGATGGCGGTTGGGGCGGAGGACATTGCTACGAGCGTGTTGGCACACTCATAGACGACGGCGGCAGACGGGGAATTGAGAAGGGAGATGATGATCTTGATGTACTTGCCCTTCTCGGCAGGGTTGGAGCGGCAGACCCTGCGGATGAGATCGAGGGCGGCCATCTGAAGGAGGTCGCCCCAGTCAGGGACGTGGTCGGCGTGGGAGAGGAGGTGGGCGACCGCACGGGGCTGAGCGCAGGAGGCCAGCATGAGGAAGGCATTGCGGCGGGCGGAGAGGTCTTGTTCGGAGGACAGGGCCTTCTCGACCAGCTCGGGGGCATCGGGGAGCAACTGCTCGCCGGCCTGGCCGGGAAGGCGGTAGATGGCGGCGACGGCGAGGAGTGCGTGGCGGCGGATGAAGGGGTGACGATGGTCGAGATTGGCCAGGACGGAGGGAACGAGAGGCTCCAAGATCTCCGGCTCGGAGAGGCGGCAGAGGAAGCGGAGGGTGACGCCGCAGATGTATTCGTTGGGGTGCTGCAGGTTGTTGCGTAGGTTCTGGCAGATAAGGATCATCTCGGGGAGCACGCGGCCGCGGGAATCCGTCTTGTCGATGATCTCCAGGTAGAGGAGGAGCAGTTTCTGCACGGTGTGGTCCTCGGAAGGCAGCACGTAGCGCACGATAGTGATGAAGAGCTGGGGAAGGGTCTCGCCATTTAGGAGGAGCATGATGGCCTTCTTGAGGGCGTCGACCTTAGCGTCCACGTCGTTCCCCTCAAGGGCCTCCTTGATCTCGTTCGCCATGGCCGGCGAGCCCTTGTCGAAGTGGATCAGCAGCGAGCACGACTTCTCCATCTCGTAACGCTTGCTTCCCGCGCTGGAAACTCCTTCAAAGCCCTAGATCTGGATATGGTGGATCGGAAGGATCTGAGGTGAGGAGGCGCGAGATCCGGATCGGCGAGAAGGAAAATGAAGACGACTCGGTGGAGAGATCGAAGGGCTCCGGTGGGGGAATTGGGGTCGAATCCTGTGGAGATCGAAGGGTTTCGTCGGGATTCGGAGGACGAGGCGCCGGGTGGAGGACTCAGCGGCGAGGCGGAGGTCGGGGATCGAGCGATGCGTTCCTTCGCTATGAACTATCAACCGGACACCACGCTTGCGGATTGGGCTTTAAACTGGGTCTATTGTCAAAATTGAGCTTTGACTTGGGCCTAATGTCAAAATTGGGCCTAATGAAGTCCGCTCGCCACTAAACATTCAAAATTCGTCATTCAAAATTGGGCCTAATGTCACTGAAAGCATCTTCTTTGAAAGCAATCACCGTGCAAAACTGGTCCACTTGTACCTTATGCTTTAGGTTTAGGATCCAAAAGTAAGAGAAGAGAAGACAGATGGAAAGAACACTGCAAAAAGCATAATCCAACAACAACAGTGAATCAACTCACATCTCGAAACTCCCTGATCAATCATGGAAAGAAGAAGAAGAATCATCGAAACTTCATGCAAACACATCGGAGATTGCTCGTGTACAGATCACCATAGAAGTTGAACGTTATTAGCAGCATGTAGGAGCGTCGTACAAGCACGGATCAGAAGGGTAGATACAGAGAACAAAGAAGTGGAGACGATGGGAGTGCGCCTAAGGGTAAGCGACCAAGCGGCGCGTGCAGAGGGTGCAGTAGAACCGCCTCTTGGTGTGGAAGTAGAGGGGGAGGAAGCAGAACCGCCAGGCGCTCTCCACGTCCGTGGCCATGACCACGCCGCCGCAGAAGGGGCAGCTCCCCGGCGCCTGGTGGGTCCCCAACACCCTCTCCTCCTCGTCGCACACGAACACCAAGCACATCGCTCCTCGCCTTCCGCTTCGACGGTGCGTCGATCCCACGCGGCTGACGAACTCGATGCCAAGCCAAGGGAAGAAGCCGCGAGAAGGTTCCGGTTTGCTCTCACAATACCGCGGGTCCCACTCGTGCAGCCGACCGGGACCCACTCGGAGCCTCTCATCAGCCGTACGAAGGGATATTTGGATTTTTTTTTAATAATTAAAAAAAAATATATAAAAAATGAAAAATAAATTTATTTCTTTCGATCAACGATTAAACTAAAATAAAGATAACAAATTCTTGTTCGAATGGAATGATCGAGACATCTTGAATTAATAACGATTGATAATTATATTAATTTTTTAAACATTAGATCGTTACATGTATTAAGAAGATATATCCACTTTTGAAAGTGACATTAGATAAAAATAAATAAATAAAATTATGATTTTTATTGTTTTAAATTATTTTTAATTTAAAATTAAATATAAAAATGAAATTGAGATCGAAATCAGCCCCATGCGAATCAGTCAGTTTTGGTTCGTAAAAGATAGGAGGGGGGTTCGACTCCGAAACTGAGGTCAGGACTCTACCGAGAACTCCATGCTTAATCTTCATCCATGTTAAAACTCGACAAGTGTTCGACGAAATGTCCGGAGCAGACGGGGACTCCACAAGCCACAAAAACAAAAAGAATCCGTAATCCCTCCGCGCATCGCGTGCAAACTATGAAGGAATACCGCGTTGCAAACTGAGACGGCCGGATCGTGCGTTACGTACTGCATGCAGCAATCCAGATGAGACGAACTGGCGCTCTATCGCCTGCGGTGACTTCCCAAATCAAAGAAGCCGAATGATTTGGCTACACCCTCAGTCCGATGCAGCACCGCATCAGAGCGCGGACTTTCATGTGTTCGCCGTGCCTCACGTGGGGGGGAAGAGCATAAACAACTTGAGTCAATGGAAGTCAACGTAACCTGATGCGTCCGCTGCAGAGCCCACAACATGTTTGTGAAATGGTCGAACACGACAGTTTCGTAACAGAGCATCTGCAGAATTTTCGCCTCGAAGAACCATTACATCCGCAGTAGATATCAATCGACAGAGCAATCTTGTTTATTATGACAGGAAGAAACCAGCACGCATCCAACTTCATCCACACATCGTTTACCAGAATCTGTCATGTGTAATGCATGTTGAGCGTCGAACTCGCAGTCGATCCACCTCAGATCCTCCTCCTGTCTTACGCGCAGAGACATGACATCATGGTTATTAGATGTGTTTGACGTCTGCAGAACAATCGGCAAGTATGAACGCGAAGAGAAGACCGAGGAAGCAGGGGGGGTGGAGTTCAGCATCGATCGGTGCCCACTCATGGAACTGTTCACATTTCTTCTCGCGTCCCTGCAGGGTAGGGGCTGTGACCACCGGGGGTGGCAGGAGGAATGATGCTGCGAGGAGAAGCTGGACCATCGTTAATCCGTGGTTTCCAACATCGGCTCTGCATACCCATACAATATGTGGGTGCTCTCTGTCCAGAATTGTTGGCTTTGACTGGCATCGATGAGTCGTGTTAAATAATGGCCGGTGGCGAAGACCGGAGACCGCAACAATCCACATAAAAAACACATGATGGGATGACTATTCAAACCAGAGAACTGACCTGCAGAAAGTGAAGTGTGTATCTGAGCGAATGCCTTGAATTCTAGAACGAGGAATGGAGGAGGACAGTGGAGGTTCATCCGGATAAAGCTTGACAGGTGGGAGAGAGGTGGTCACACCTCATGGAGACTTTGCCTTTGCCTTATTCTTGTGGTGGAGCCATGAGAGACTTCAAAAGCATTTGTCATGTCAACCACACACAAAAACAGTTTCATACTGATCGCTTTCTGCTACCAGAAAAGATCGATTCGTACAGATTTCGGCAAGGATTAATTTACTGGGAATGGATTGACATGAATCTTGGTTAAAGTTCCAGCTGGCTAAAGTTCATTATTCTCGACAGAAAGAGGGACAGATCATGGCATTTAACTGGAGAACACATCAACTTCTGAGCTTAGAACTGCATCACTATAAGAAGCAAGCTTTATGGAGGCTTATGGAACAAGACAACCTGAAAGATACTGCAGGGAGAAAAGGAATGCTCAGCGATAAAGTATATTTTGGGTCTAAAGACACCGACGCAAAATCAGAATCCAAAATCAGAATCCATACCGAGGTGTTGTTTGGTATGTCCATCACGTCAATCAGCGTATAATCGACCCTCGTACTGTACCAAGGCACTGTTCGACATGTCTCGTCCCGGTAATCCCAGGATGGCGCTGCCCCCACACACCAAGTCAGAATCCATACCGAGGCACTGTTTTTATGTCCACCACGCAAGCAAGGGGAATACCCTCAAGTCAAAATCCATACCGAGGCATTATTTGATATGTCCACCATGTCAATCCGTGTACGACCGACCTTTGTACAACAGCATAAAGACCTCGGGCCAACATACAGGGGCAAAAAATAATTAAACACTCCACTAACTTGCTCGTCGGAGGAGCCAAAGTCGAGAATCACCTGACGAAGGTCATTTTTGCAGGAAAGCAACCATCCATGACCCACGAGCATCCCAACCTCCGAAGTCGTCGACCGGCATCCCCACGGCGAGCCATCAACCAACACCCGGACCGAGGAACGCTAATCAACATCCTGTCGTGAGGGCCCGGTCGACCTCGGCATCCAGCTCAGCAGATAGAAGACTCCCGACATCGATCCGTGGACCAAGCCGTGCTGACTCACCAGCCACGGTACGTGTGTTCACCAACATTTTGGCACTAGAAGGAGGGCCATGTCGCAGGAGCATCTTGCAGAAGCTCTCCTCGAGGGAGAACCATAAACCGGTCTCCCCTCTATCGAGCCCGGAGATCAATCCTCCCCGTCCTCAGAGACGGGGGGATCCCGGCCTCGATGTCGGATCGCTACTGGTGCCTGTTCAACGACTCCGGGTTGTCACCCCCTGGACTTACCACAAGACCCTTGGCCGTGTCACCCGAGGCGTTCCTCAGCCTAACCAAGCAAGTGCAAGCAATGGCAGAGATGATGCAAACGCTCGTTCCACTCATTCCCCAGATCATGCAGCTAGCAACTCCCCCGACTGACCCGACCCAGCAAAGGCCGAGCAGGGAGCAAGTTAGGACGGGAGAAGCCCGAGAGCAAACGACGAACCCTAGAGATACGCCCGAGCAGAGCATACTTGCACCCTGCTGAATCACACCACCTCGCTCCGAGCCTGACACCATATCGACTGACTCGGCGGACGACTCGTTTAGGGTCTAGTTGTCCCCGGGTCAACCAACGCTTGGACGAGTTCCAGCGCGAGTTCTAGAAATCACGGAGCGAGTCCGACGAAGGTGGCTTGAGCGGATCCCCTTTTACTCAGGAAATACAGGACAAGTCTGTACCCCTCAACTTCAGGCTGCTGACATTGGAGACGTATAATGGTAGCTCCAACCCCACATAGCATGTCGCGACGTTTTGGGCTCAGATGGCCCTCTACGGCACCTCTGACGCCTTGATGTGTCGAGCATTCTCGACCACCTTCAGAGGATCGGAACGAACATGGTTCAGCCGGCTACACCTGCTCTCAGTCTCATCTTTCGACCAGCTCGCAAGGGAATTCGAGCAAAGCTTCCTTGCCAACGTGCGACTCAAGCCTTCCATCGCCACCCTACTGGCGTTATCTCAACACGAGGGTGAATCGCTCTCCCAATTTGTGGTGTGCTTTGACGCGAAAATCTGGGGATTCTCAGACGCTCACCCTTCTATAACCATGCAGGCATTCATGATGTGTTTGAGGCCCTCAAGGTTCTTTTGGTCACTCATCGAGAAGCCACCCACGACCATCCCCGAGTTGCTCCAACACACTAATCAGTACATCGTCGCGAAGCCCTAATGGTAGGGAGGCGCGAGGACAACAAGAGGCCGAGGATGGAGCAAGCCCGAGGAGCGGCTCCGGCACCCCCATCGCAAGCTCGCAGGAGGCCCGATTGGCCCGAGTCAAAAGCTGTGTCACCCCAGCCAGCACGCTATGTGGCGCGATGGCACCGCTCGTGACAAAGGGTCTCCCGTCGGCAGACCTAAGCCTGAGATCAGATACTCAACCAACGGGACCAGTCTCCTCTCGAGCCACACAGCTTGGTCCCCTGACCAGCGACTAGCCATTATCATCCTACCATGATGTCGCCCCTCGAGGACCGAGTCGCTCCAGATCGGACTCCCAACTTGTGACTCGCCGACCCAATCTGTGCCCGTGTTGCTCCAGATTGGACCCCCGACTTGTGACTCACAAATCCAGTCTTTGCTCGAGTCGCTCCAGATCGGACCCCCGACTCGTCGGCCTAGTCTTTGCCCGAGCCGCTCTAGATCGGATCCCC